GTAGTTCATAACCAGCGCGAAGCATGCATGCAAGTCGATTCTGTCTGCAATTATGTCAAGTGCTTATACCACCACAATATTTTTCCTCTGCTTTATTTTTATCTCTTTAAGTTGAATCTTATTATATTTTTATTTCCTTCTCAATTCTGATTTTAATTTTTTAATTTCTATTTAACCTTTTCAGTGGGTAAATTTACCTGACCTTAAATAATCTGTCGAAATAAATTTAGTTTTAAATGTGACAGCTCTTAATATTAATATTTATTCAATAAGATACGATGCGACGAGTTTTTAAATTTTAACGGGAATATCTAATTTTGGGATCAATTGATTTTACTATTCTTTTATGAATTGTAAAGTAGACGAAATGTAGTTGTTAATTTTAATTTACTGGAGTATAATAAAACATATTTTTTATGAATATTAATTTAAAATTATCTTATTTAATGCATAAGTAATAAATGTTACGTGCTTCTATATATTCATTAAATAATTTATATTTAAAAATACTCGTCGGATATTGAATAAATTATTGGGTCAAAAATATTAAAGAGTACAGCTTTTATAACTTCTTGGAAGTATGATGTAATGTTTATTTATTCTAAGAGTTATTTTTTGACATAAAATCATGACATTAGTCAAAAGTATCAAACATCGGTATTTTTAAAAATAGAAAATAATGTTTAGACAAAAATTTCTTAAGAATTTTCTGAAAAAAAAATTTTTTTGCCAACTGTTCAATCTATAAAATTTTTTTTAAACATTAATTTTTCGATAAAAAATTTTTTTATCAATATTGAAAGCTTAAAATCTAACTAAAAAATTTATTTTCGTAATTAATATTGTAAATTAATTATAAAATAAAATAATTTTTTAAAATTCATCAATTTTTATTAACTGAAAATCAATTATTTTATCACTAACTAAAAGTAAGCCTTAAAAAAATCCAAAGATACTTAAAATAATTAGAGATTAATTTGTTAATTCCGAGGAAACACGAGCACAGATCGATAAATAATCTCTTTATGTGAAGATCTCTTGATAGTGTGAACAGACAAGGACATCGAATCGATATAAATAAATCTCCTTTAAAAGATCTGTATTTTTTTATCCCCCCGTAGATTCGCACGTTATCTTGGCTTTCGAATGCGTGGCTCAGAGCCTCTTTTTCGATGTGTGAACACTCGCGGGATGGAGGTAGATGCCGCCCGAAATAGTTTTAGTGTCTGTTTGGACCAGTACAGAAGTACTGATCGAGACAGACAAAGACGAAGATAATGATGAGGTTAGAGATAGAGAGAGAGAGAGAGAAAGAGAAAATCCTGGAGATTACAAGCGGATACGGCGAACGTAGTATCTACATCTCCGCCTCTCATTAGCAGAACTGGTTTATCGTCTGGGCTCCTATCCCTTGAATCGAGAACCGTAATTTCGGCCTCCTCTTTTCCTCTCCTTGCTTCTATTCCTACTACTACTACTACACACACGTAAACTTTATTATTATTATACATTTCTACTTTACCTTAACGTCATCCCTTTTTCTTCTCTCCTGACATCCGGCCACGATATCCTCAGTCCCGAATTTCGGGTTAACTTATTCCCTTTAATGTGCATGAAACTGCCGAAATTCATGAATTTATTCGATCGACTCGTGCCTCGGGAGCTTTAAGTTTATCTTAAATCATCGACTATCCGACTAAATACTTATCTCATCTCTAGATTCAAACTATTTTGTCTGATAAATATTTATTACGTCCCGGCATCCTCGAACAATCTAATTCTACCCCTAGGGATTCATCTTTTCTATTTGCAATGTTAAAATTTTAATGTATATGGATATCAAGTCTCTGATATGTTAATTAGACAGGACATTTAATTACAAAAATTAGGGACACACTTAAAATTAAAGTACAGAGAAAAAAAATTTATTTGAATCAAGTAAATAATTTTTAAGAATTTCATGTTCTTGATTTAAGTCACTTGCAATTTTATTTTAATTAAAAAAAAAAAAAATCAACTCTAATAAATTAATAAATATAATTTTTGAATTATAAATTTTAAGAAAATTGATTTTTTGAGAACATTTAATTTTTTTAATTAGAATAAAATTGCAAGTGTCAAACAACTAGGCCAGTGTCAATAACTGGGTCTTTTACCTTACACAGAAAAAAAAACTGTTCTTGAATCAAGTATATAATTTTGAAAAACTTAATCTTCTTGATTTGAGTAGAAAAATTCTTGAACTAATAAATTTTTCTTGATTTAAGGAAATTTTACTTGATTCAAAAATTTTTCGTCTTGATTCAAAACAATTATCCTCTTCATAATTATTTTTTAAGTTCATGAATTTTTTTCTCGAAAAAAAAAATTCTTAAACTTCTTCAAAAAAATTCTTAAAAAAATTCTTAAACTAAGAAATTTTTCTTGTTTAAAGTAAATTTTACTTGATTCAAAAATTTTTCGTCTTCATCCAAGACAATGAAACTCTTCAAAATTATTTTCCTGGTCCAAGAATTTTTCTCTTGATTCAAGTTATTTTTTTTTCTGTATAATAGGAGAGTGAAATTTATAATTTTTAGAAAAATGTAAAAAAAAAGATTCTTGAATTTAAATTAAATATTGTTTATATAATAAACTTTCACAGCAAACTTGTTCGCCATTTTCAAACCAGCAAATTTTCAGCATAAAATATCGGTACATTACACCAATTTACTCGCTCTGTAACCTTTCCAATAAATAAACAAATAAGTACAGAGCCAAGCACATAGACATAGATGTCTTAGATATCTGTATACAGATAGTTTTACTTGACTTAGATTATATTAAACTAGAGCAGGAGATATCGAAGTATAAAGTCTTAAGTAAAGAGCATAGCACCGGGAAACGAGCACGCTGGTAGCCACTGGTATTCCTTCGGGAAGTCCCACGAGTGAAATTGCACCGTCTGCAATGTTGCTTGTGCTCGCAAACATCTTTCCAATAACAGTCAACTTGGATTCACATGAATAGAGTCCAGTATATACTATATCATCCTACTAAAACAATATGAACAATTTTCTAGTTTATTTCTTTTTATTAAAAATATTGATTATAATTATAACATAGATATATTTTTCTTTATTACCGTGACTATACACTACATCTGACTTGAAGTAATATAATATAATCGAAGGAGAGAAGGAAGAAAACGAGGAGCGTAATGTCTCCCAGCGGTAATATGTACTACACACCGTTCTTATTCAGTGCCTGTTTGTCTGTTCCAGGATCCCCAGAATGTGTCGCCGCCACGAATCACCCAGGATGCACAGAACGAGGCGATGAGAGGCCTGAATGGAGGCCGAGGAAGCCGCAGAGCCCCCAGGGGCTAAGATCCTCCTCGAGAAGCCCTCTGCTATAACGATTTTCTTACCCAAGATAAGACCACGCAAATCCATTCCTGTCTTTTCTTCCGAAGGATTTTACGCTTTTTTTACGTCTAACCATTGCCGACTAATGTTCTAAGATGTAAAGTGTCCGTTGTCAGGAGAGCAACCTATTACTAATATTCGACTGCTTTGTTGAGAAACTCCTGGGATTTTTTATAGCTAACTAAGAAAAGCAAGAAATAAAGATTTTTAAAATTTACTTATCCGCTGGGAATAAATGATTTGCTGGTTTATTTTTTAAGGTATGGAAAAACAATTTATTCATCTATTTTAAAAAACTATGATTGCAATTTTTTTAAGTTAAACTAGCAACTTTGCACTCACTATATGACTGCCGTGACTTGTGAGCTATACATAATTAAAGTTTTGCTTTATTAAATAATGACTTTTGTTAAATTGCACTGTACTTTTTTAACTATTGACGTTTTCAAAGATATAAGCTCATCCCGATGTTACACTTATCAAGAGCTTTCATTTGAGTACCTACATGCATTTTAATATATTTCTCATATATTCCTATATATATATATATATATATAAAATATATGAAAAATTGACGTGGGTACTCAAATAAAAGGTCTTGATGAGTGTAACATCGGAATGAGCTTATATCTTTAAAAATATCATTAGTTGATAAAATACCATGTCATTTTTTAATTATTGACGTTTTTAAAGATATAAGCTTATCCCGATGTTACACTCATCGAGAGCTTTCATTTGAGTACCCACATGCATTTTGATATATTTTTCATATTTAATATATATAAATATATAAAATATATGAAAAATTGATGTGGGTACTCAAATGAAAACTCTCGATGAGTGTAACATCGGAATAAGCTTATATCTTTGTAAAATATCATTAGTTGACAAATACCATGTCATTTCTTAATTATTGACGTTTTCAGAGATATAAGCTTTTTAAAGATATAAGCTTATCCCGATGTACACTCATCGAGAGCTTTCATTTGAGTACCCACATGCATTTTGATATATTTTTCATATTTAATATATATAAATATATAAAATATATGAAAAATTGATGTGGGTACTCAAATGAAAACTCTCGATGAGTGTAACATCGGAATAAGCTTATATCTTTGAAAATATCATTAGTTGACAAATACCATGTCATTTCTTAATTATTGACGTTTTCAGAGATATAAGCTCATCCCGATGTTACACTCATCAAGAGCGTTCATTTGAATACCCACAAGGCATTTTTTTATATATTTGTTATATATGGTATTTGTGAAATATATAAAATATATGAAAAATTGATGTGGGTACTCAAATGAAAAGTCTCGATGCGTGTAATGTCAGGGTGAGCTTATATCTTTAAAAATGTCAATATTTCATAAGATACAAGGTCATTACTTAAGTATGTGTCTAGAAATAGAGTATTTTCAAATACAGCTTAAATACTTATCATAACAAGACCTTCGCAATGACACTAAGTTTCACTAAAAAAAAAAAAACGATTTTATCATACGACTATCCTGGAAACAAAATTTTTCTTATTCAATTAATAATCTGGATGAAATTAATCAATTTTTTTCAGTGAGTTTGAACAAGATGGCGGCTCCAGTAATTGAAAAGAAGCGATTTTTCTGCCGAGAATGGGCGTTTATGAAGCTGTCACACTGCCTAGAGCAAAGACCAGCCTCAAAAACCTGCGGAGCTTTGATCGTTGGCGGTCCAGGAAGCGGGAAGACAGCGCTGTGCGCCGAACTCGCCTGGCCCTCGACAACTGCGAGCTCCCGGCACCAAAGATCCCTGAACCGTAGACTTCTCGCAAGACATTTCTGCCAAGCAAGGAGCGAAGCATCCTTGTCTCCAGCACAATTCGTGCGTTCGCTGGTCGCGCAGATTCTTCAAGCGAGTACCGACGGAATTCACCTGTCTTCACCGACATCTCCAACAGCCAGCACAACCTCAGCGCCCTCCACGTCCAAAGAAGCCGTCGCAGAAGCTTACGCCGAGCGATTACGCACAGATCCCGATATCCACGCCGCTTTGCAGCACGACGTCCTGGACAGGGACCCCGATGATGCCTTCAAGAAAGCTCTTCTTTTTCCTCTCCTCGAAGTTGAGCCGCCGAAGAACTGTTTGTTCCTTCTGGTAGACTCTATAGACGAAGGACAAGTTCTTAATCCTCCACAAACCGGAACCCGGGACTCGAGACGCGAAAATGACAATGTCAGTCGCTCCATCGCGGAATTACTCGCGAATCATCACCATTTGTTCCCACAGTGGTTGCTGTTGGTTTGTACCGCGAGGCGCCAGAGCAAAACTATCTCCAGAATGTTCACCGGGTTCAGGAAGATTTCTCTTGACGATTTGAGGAAGAGTCAAGTCGTCAGAGATGTTCAGCAATATATTTTAGCGCGCCTAGATCAAGAAGATGCGCTAAGACAACACATTAGTCGTGATACTGCCGAAATGTTGAACCAGCTGCATATTAAAAGCAATGGGTGCTTTCTCTACCTGGAAAAGGTATTTATTTTTTATTTTAAATAATTTAATTAATTAAAATAAAATGTAGATATTTTTTATTTATTATTTATTTAATATTTTTATTTATTTTTTATTTTAAATAATAAAATTATTTAAAATACTAATTATTTAATATTGAAGCTTTCCTGATTCTTTAATTTGATCCTGGCTTGATCCGATCTAAATATTTTTTCAAATTTCTTGCTAAAAAACTGTGATTTTAATTTTTTGAAAAAAAAAAATTATCTTTGAAAAAAATTAGCCATATTGTAATTTGTTGAAAATTTTCAACAAATTAATTTCTTGATCTAACAATCTCTATTTTTTTCAAAAAAAATTTTTTTCTCCGTGTAAAGGATTGAGAAGACTTTAATGTTAAATAATTAGCATTACACAGAAAAAAAAAATGTTCTTGAATCAAGTATATAATTTTGAAGAACTTAATCTTCTTGATTTGAGTAGAAAAATTCTTGAACTAATAAATTTTTCTTGATTTAAAGAAATTTTACTTGATTCAAGAATTTTTTGTCTTGATTCAAAAAAATTATTTTTTTAGTTCAAGAATTTATTTCTCGAATCAAGCTAATTTTTTTTTTCAGTATACAAATTAAAAAATTATCAATCTTAATACAGACGTTTTCTCGATTTTCTTTAATTAAATTCTAATTAATTTTTTAAATTTAATGCTATTTAATTTTATATATTTTCTTTTGATGTATACTGCCGATAGGCGTATGTTGATAACTAAATAAATGAATTAAGCATAATAATTACTAATAATAATAATAAAAATATTATTAACAGGTTTTAGACGGTGTAGCTGAGAACTTCATAGTCCTGAGAGAAGTTAGAGAAATTCCTGGTACACTGAACGGGCTGTACTTATGGCTATGTCAGCGATTGTTTAGCAGAAAACAATTTGCGAAAGTCCAGCCACTGCTGAACGTGATACTGGCGGCGAAACTGCCGATAACTCAGGAGGTTCTGTACAAGTGTGTGAAAACGGCAAACACAACAATAACGATTGAGGACTTCAACCGTAGGCTTCATCTGCTGAGGAGGGTCATATCCGTTTCGCGTGCTGGCGCGCTTATGCTGTTTCATCACAGCTTCGCTGAATGGCTGCTAGATGTAAAACACTGCACACAGAAGTATCTGTGCTCAGCTACCGAGGGCCACGCGATGCTCTCCGCGTACTACACGCTGAGAAGTCCCGAGCTCAACCCCGACGAGATTTGTGTTCTTGGCCAGCATCTGCAGCGTGTTATCAATAATATCAGTGGGAATAATTGCACTCTGGATGCTCACACACTTCAAGTGCTCTGGATGATTGGCAGCAGAGCGCCGATTGAGCAGTGCTATCTCGACAGCCCGGAGTGTATTATGTGGCCAAGACAGGACACAAAGTTACTCAGGCTGCTTGTTGATGCTGGTGCTAAGCCCTCGGAGAAAATAATCGAGGATGAACCTATCAAGGATCCTGTTTCTTCTAGTCAGGTTGGTTTATTTTTTTTTTTTATTTTTATTTTAAATTGTTATATTTAAAATAAGCAGTGTTGAAAAAAATGATGGGTAATTATTTACAAGTGGAGTTTTTTTTCTATCAAATTGATCAATTTGTTTTTTTTTTTAATTAATCGTTTTTTTTTTGTACTTTTCAAAAAAAAAATATATCAAAAAAAGATAAAATAAGAATTTTATTTAGAAACATAAATGCCAATTTTTTTCCGACTTTTAAAGGCAAAAAAGCTATCAAAATCTTTACTTTTCCCTTTCACAACATTTTTATCATAAATGCGCCGTAAAAACAAGTAGAATAAAAAAAATTAAAGAATGTTAATTTTTCACCTAATTATAGCCCAAAATAGGATTGATTCCACTTTTAGATAATAACCAAATGAATTTCTTGTTTAAAAAATTTTTCTCTTGCTTCAAATAAATTTTTTTAACACTGTAGTGTTAAGACAACTTAGCAATCCTAAAAATTAAATTCTTAAACAACTCAGTCTCATAAAATAAAAATGTTTAAAGGTCTCGCAAGATGTGAGCCCAGTAGATGAATCACCCGGTGAACCATTGACAGAGTTACTAGGCGAAAGCGGTGACATAAACCAAGCTGATTCATGTGGTCGAACGGTACTCCACACTCTGGCTGCGGATGGAAACGCGTCGCTCCTGGAGCTGGCGCTAGCAGCATGTCCTCAGGTAAAAAAAAGTTCCTGGCAATAAATACACCTTATAATTATAATTATCTGTGCAAAAAAAAAATAAACATCAAATGTGGTTTTAGGCGAAGCTGGAAGCCACGGACCGCCACGGACAGACACCCTTGAACCTAGCAGCCAGACACGGGTACGCAGACGTCGTTCGAGTCCTCTTGGCTGCTGGAGCAAGTGCCGATCATGCAGACTGCGACGGGTGGACAGCACTGAGAGCAGCAGCCTGGGGCGGACACACCCAGGTACATTCACAGCCAAGCCTACTTCCACGAAACCACAAGACTGTTAAAACAGACTCTGATGTAGTTAGTGTGATTTATTATTCTTGATTTACTCTCGTTGTGGCTAACAAACTCAAACATTATCTGACTCACGATTAATACAACTATTATACTCATTACCACTGTCATTACCATCAGGTTTACTATCAACCCAACTCAACTTACTCTCTTCTTTTATTACTTTATTCATCATCCAGTCTCAGAGCCTCAGCCTCCAGCTCATCATCCACTAAAAATCCTAGTCAGTACAGCGTTTAGTAGTGACTCAACCATACGTCGACTCGCTCCACAGCGATTGTCTCTTTTCTAACTAAGGAACTAAAAATAAATTAACAAATCTCGTAGGCTGAAATAATATTTATTTATATTTATATTGATATTATCTTTACCTCTATTTGTCAGACTGTTATTATTGTTATTATTATTATTAATGTTATTAATAGTATATTGTTTATATAAACAGACACCCAAGCGCACATGACCATAAATGTACTAATAAAATTGCCAATTACGTCTCCAGGTTGTAGAAATGCTCTTGGAGCACGGCGCGATGGTCGATTGTGCAGACTGGGATCAACGAACGGCTCTACGTGCAGCCGCGTGGGGCGGACATGAAGATATTGTGAAAGCTCTGCTCCAACACGGCGCCGATGTCAACAGAACTGACGACGAGGGCAGAACAGCCCTCATTGCAGCCGCTTATATGGGCCACAGTGAGATTGTTGAACACTTACTTGATTACGGGGCAAAAATCGACCACGCTGACAGTGATGGTCGAACTGCGCTTAGCGTAGCAGCTCTCTGCGTTCCCTCTAATCACGGCTATGCAAAGGTCAGTTTTTCATCTTCCATTAATGATGATAAAAATAAAAAATTACAGTAAAGTTAGCAGTCATTAGAGAATTTTTTTTAACAAACAAATTTTAATTTTAATTTTTTTAAATTTCTACATACTACCAATTTTTTTTTGCCATAATTTATTTGTTAAAAAAAAATTTTTAATATCTGCTAAATTTATTTTCATAAATAAAAATCGAGTTAGTAACTGATGATGTTGAATCTCAGTAGATTCTTATCTAAGAGAAAAGATTTTTATTTAGTTAACTTACTTGAAATAATCCTCGTAGGTAGTGACAATTTTACTGGAACGCGGAGCCGCTGTTGATCACCAGGACAAAGACGGAATGACCCCATTGTTAGTAGCGGCGTTTGAGGGTCATCGGGATGTTTGCGAGCTGCTGCTCGAGTACGAAGCGGACGTTGATCACTGCGATGCTACGGGAAGAACGCCCCTGTGGGCAGCCGCCAGCATGGGACATGGAAGCGTTGTTGCGTTGCTTTTGTTCTGGGGATGTTACGTCGACAGTATTGATAACGAGGGGAGGACTGTATTGAGCGTCGCTGCTGCTCAAGGTGGCACAGATGTTGTTAAACAGCTTTTGGATCGAGGTAGATTGATGGTTATTTCAATTATCTCGGTACTTCTTCATTAATAATATTGATAGTAACTAACAACTTTGCAGTCACTATGTGACTGCCGTGACTTGTGAACTATAAATAAAAATGAAATTTTGCTTTATTAAATAATGACTTTTGTTAAATTGCACTGTACTTTCTTAAATAATGACGTTTTTAAAGATATAAGCTCATCTCGATGTTACACTCATCAAGAGCTTTCATTTGAGTACCCACATCAATTTTTCATATACTTATGTATATTATGTATAAGTATATATGAAAAATATATCAAAATGCATGTGGGTACTCAAATGAAAGTTATTGATAAGTGTAACATCGGGATGAGCTTATATCTTTGAAAACATCAATAGTTAAGAAAGTACAAGGCAAAATGCATGTGGGTACTCAAATTAAAGTTATTGATAAGTGTAACATCGGGATGAGCTTATATCTTTGAAAACATCAATAGTTAAGAAAGTACAAGGCATTTTAACAAATATCTTGTAAACTATTGATATTTTTAAAAATATAAGCTCACCCCGACATTACAGTCATCGAGAGCTTTCATTTGAGTACCCACATGCATTTTGATATATTTTTCATATATACATATATATATATAATACATATAAATATATGAAAAATTGATGTGGGTACTCAAATGAAAGGTCTTGATGAGTGTAACATCGAAATGAGCTTATATCTTTAAAAATGTCAATAGTTCACAAGATACAAGGTCAAGACTTTTCCAAAGATATCAAATTTAACCATAAAAATCCATTTTATCATCTAAATCCACTCTCCACAAAATTTTGCTTATTCTCTTAATAATATCGATTAATATCACAATTTTTTCCGATTAAAATTAAGCAAAAAAAATTATTAAATCCTCTTTAAGTCTTGAAAGATTTATTTTTATTTCTTCCTCATTAATATTAGACATATTTGATACTAATAAAATTTCCGCTCACAGGGTTGGATGAACAGCATCGAGATAATTCCGGATGGACACCGCTCCACTACGCAGCATTTGAAGGTCACCTGGACGTATGCGAGGCATTGTTAGAAGCTGGCGCAAAAGTCGACGAAGCTGATAATGACGGCAAGGGTGCTCTGATGCTTGCAGCACAAGAGGGACATACTGGTTTAGTCGAGAGGCTGTTGGAACAGCACGCAGCTCCCATCGATCAGCACGCCCACGACGGCAAGACCGCATTGAGGTACATACTAACCACTCACATTTATTTTCATCCTGGTATTTCTGATGTTGAACACACAGATAGAGAATACAGATAGAGAGCCTTTCTCTCAAACTGTATAAATATATATACATGGCAATCCTTTCAGCTTATGTACACAGAATAACATTTTATCTCTCTATTGTTGTGGTTCTCTCAGGCTTGCAGCCCTCGAAGGTCATTACGAGACAGTACGGGTGCTTCTGAAACACAATGCCGATATGAATGCCAAGGACGCGGATGGAAGAAGTACTCTGTATATTCTTGCGCTGGAAAATCGATTGGCGATGGCGAAGTTTTTGCTCGAGAATGCTAATGCTGATGTCGAGAGCCGTGACTCTGAAGGTAGAACAGCTCTACATGTCAGCGCGTGGCAAGGACACGAGGAGATGGTCGCTCTGCTCCTGACAGCCGGCAATGCCAGTGTTAACGCTTGCGATAATGAAAATCGCACTCCTCTACACTCGGCCGCGTGGCAGGGACACGCTGCTATTGTTAGATTACTCCTCGAGCACGGCGCTACGCCAGATCATACGTGTAATCAGGGTGCTACTGCTCTAGGTGCATACATTATTAATTAATTAATTAATTAATTAATTATTATTATAATATACCTCATTGTTAATGGTTTATGCGTAGGCATTACGTGTATTATTGATAACACTGTAATAAACTAATTATAGTATCATTTCACTCGAAGTAATACTACTCCTACTAATCGGCTGTTGAATTATTCAGGCATCGCCGCGCAAGAGGGTCACGAACACTGTGTTAGAGCACTACTCAATCATGGCGCAGATCCTAATCACTCCGATCATTGTGGTAGAAACGCAATAAAAGTTGCTGCTAAAAGCGGCCATGATACTGTCGTCAGGCTTTTAGAGGAACATTCTGCTAATCAACGCAGTTTACGACCTGTCATGAATGGAGGTATTTTACTTTTATGATACTTTTTTTTTTTGGTAATTTTTTATGAATTGACTCAATGCCATTTTGGGCAATAACTAGGTGAAAAATTAACATTTTCAAATTTTTTTTTATTTTGCTTATTTTTACGGCGCATTTGTGATAAAAAATGTGAAAGAAAAAAATAAAGATTTCGATAGCTTTTTTGCCTTCAAAAGTTGAAAAAATTTTTGGATAAAATTTCTATTTTATCTTTTTTTGATATATTTTTTTTGAAAAGTACATAAAAAATGAACAATTTATAATAAAGTAAAAAAATTTTTTGTTCATTTTTTTATGTATTTAAAAAAAAAAAAAAATATAAGGTAAAATCAAATAGAAATTTTATTAAAAAAAATGCAAATTAAGATGGTTTACCTCACTTGTAAATATTTACTTTTTTTTTTATTTTTTCTAAAAATTTACTCACTTGTCTAAACAATAATTAATTATTTGAAGGTGGAAGCAGCAGCGCGACATCAGTGACATCAAACTCAACAGCAGAAACAAAGCCGTCATCAGCAATTCTAAACCCCTTGTCAACACAGTACAGCCCTGCGGAATCTCCCGACTCAACAAAAAGACGCAGCTGTGTATCACTGGGCAACAATTCCAGCAACAGCAAATCCAGCAGCAATTTAACTGGAAGCACAAAGAGTGATCAAGGAAAATTCAGCCAAAACCCGATGGTCAATCAAGTAATCAAAGCTCCACTGTCATTCACACAGCAGCTCCAGCAGTGCTCTCGAGGTGCCAAAAGCCGCCCGCTGAGCAAACTGCTGAGTCCGCTCAAAAGCGAGCCCCAGAGCCCGATCTACGCTTCTCCACCTCACTCTCCTCTGAGTGATAGTCTTATTCCGTACTCTCCGACAAACACTAGTCCACCTAGCGCACAAACAGCCGCCAGTGTTATTCAAAGTCAACTCGGTGTGTCATTGCTTACTGGGAACCAAAGCATACAGTACAAACCACACGGTGGCTTCAACAAATCTCCGGTTATCTACGAGCCTATCGAGATAAAAACTGAGCTCATTGACAGAAATGACAGCTCAAAGCCTTTTGAACTCACCAATGAAATGCTCGGGCTCAAAGTCAATAAAGACAAAAAGAGTAATGGGTACGATGACAAACGCAATTCTGCTGACCCCCATTTCACTCGTGATACGCACATGAGAATTATTTTAGGTAATAGTGGAGCCGGTGTTGGACGTAATGTCAAACATACTGATCACGTTACACCCAGGTAATTTTTTTTTTTTATTTAAAATTTTGAAGATATGCTATTCAAGTATGAAGACATCTAAAAATTTTTATTTTTTTTATTAAAAAATTATTACAAAAAAATAAAAAAAAATTTTTCATTTGTTAAAAACTTCAAAAACTATAAGTGCATTTTAAAAAAAAAAATATTTTTTAATTATAATTTAATAAATTAAGCAAAATAAAAAAATAAAAAATGTCGGCTAACTTTATTATTATATTATTATAACAGGTATCAGTTTTTTGAAACGATTTTAAAATCCTTTCAATGCAATAACCATAATATTTGTGATTTTCTCACTCTCCAGTCTCCACCCATACTGTCTGTGCTAAAATGTCATTTTTAATTACAATTATCTTATTTCTGGTATGGTCAATTGATTTTAAATTTCAACAGCACATCTAATGCGTATTCTATTACCCATATTTCAAATTTCGAAAATTACTTAAAATTTTTGTATTTATCACCGAACTACCTGAACTTAATTTTCATTAAATCAATTGTATTTTGTAAAAATTGAACTATTGTTATGATAATTAGGAAATTAATTATTATTTTGATATTGCAGCCCAAATCCAAAACCTAAACGCAATGGTTTAGTATCGAATCCGGCGATGAGACTTGTAGCTGGAGTACGAAATGGATTCGAAAATGCAACTAATAGGAATAAACCGATTACCACCCGCGTTAATGGATTTCAGTGGAAGGCTGAAGCACGCAAGGAAACTCCGTTGTAGAAACACAAATACCAATAATTATAAATTATATATATATATATAATGAAGAAGCCAATTACTAAATAAAATAAAAATAAAATTTGTTATAAATTATTGAAACAAAAGTAATTATTACTACTCGATATTAAATTGAGATACTAAAGTTTTAAATAATTATTAAGTATTAAATGATAATATTTAATAGTTTATATTTATGTGAAAGTCAATATATAACGTTGATTTTTTATTTTTGTTTTTTACGTGAGCAAAATCAATTACCTCATATGAGAACAAGTTAATAAATGACGAAAATAACGATAACGTCAATACGTGAGACGTATTTAAGAATATAGATAAAAAAAGGTTTATATAACTTAATACCAAATAAATAAAAAAAAAACTTTATCGATCTCACTAATACTTAGATTTAATAACGAATTAACTGTTTCAGTAACTGATAATTATGTTTAAGCGAATAATTAAATTTTTTTATTTGAAAAATTATTAGATAATATATAAATATAAATATTTAAGAATATTATAAAATATACAAAATTTATAAACGAATAAATTAAAAATTAGACAGGATTTATTTCGAAAGACTGTAAGAACGAAGCTTGTAATTTAAAATACTTGCTTATAGTGATGATCCGATCATTTATATATGTAAAGTTGTGTATAATAATCACTATATTTACAAAAACAGATAAACATAATTAAATAGAATGACTGATGATTGATATTTGTTACAATAAAGTGTAGTTTATATAAATGCTCTGCTGATATTTAAAATACGTAAAATAATGGCCTCAAAATTAACTCATACGTCAAATAAGTCTTTTATTATTACATGTAAATACTTTGTCAATGTAGTGAGCATTATAATATTTATTATAGATTGTAGCAGGTGATAAATAAATGATAATAAATATTAATTAATTTTATCTTTGATCTAATTAATTATTTTATCTTGTTATTTATATTTTTTTATATTAAAAAGTTTCTTAAAATCATAATTCAATTTTACCGCGCTTCTCCTTCTCTAATCCATAAACTTTCCCGACGACGTCTCGGTTATCTTCGTCTTCACTCGATGTATGTGCAGAAACTAAAAAAGCAATACTGAAGACTGTACAGACTTATAAATTTATAAAAAAAACGTAAAATTTTTTTTTTTATTATTGATATTAAACAATTCGTAATCTTTGAATTTAAATTCTAATTCTTGACAGCTGATAATTATGGAACAGATAAGAAAAGCTGAACGTGACACCCGTTCTTTGCGTAAGTATAATTATTAACCTTCAATGATGAAAATTTTTAATTCTATCAATAAACAAATGATTATTTACTCATTATTAATTAATTTAATTATTAATTTATTTACTAATTATTACTATTATAATGATACCCAAGTTAGTTGACAACTATCAATTTTAGTAATTTTTATATCCAATATTTTACAATAAAGAAATATAATAGCAAAATTAGCTAACCTTATCATTTTTTTAATTTTTACAAATGAAATTTTTTTGTAATAATTTTTTCAATAAATATAATTTTTCTTTTTTAATATTAAAATAAAAATAGTACAAATGATTGCATAATTTATACCATCTATATTATTAAGAGAATAAGAAAAATTTCGTCCCCAGGATAGTCACATAATAAAATTGCTTCATTAAATAGCGACTTTTCTTAAATTGCACTGTACTTTCTTAAATTAAATATTGACATTTTTAAAGATATATCAATTTTTTCATATATTTATATATATATATATATATATAACAAATGAAAGCTCTTGATGAGTGTAACATTGAGATGAGCTTATATCTTTAAAAACGTCAATAGTTAAGAAAGTACAGGGCATTTTAACAAATATCTTGTGAATTACGACAATAAAATCCTAATAAATCCATTTATAGGTCTCCTTAGTCAGAATTCTGAAGACTCACTAGCGACAGAGGAAGAAGATACTATCATTTCACACCTGCGTGACAGCAAGCTGTTCACCAACTCTAGCAGCTCTAGCAGCTCTTTAGAACTGTCAATGGAAGATCGCAATTCATATTACGCTTGCAAATATCCTCGTCTGGCAAGACTAGAAGAAGTTTGTAGTCAAATAGAACAAGAATCAGAACGTAAGTTCAGTAGGAATGTCAACAGCTGCAAAAAATTGAACTTCACTATCCAGGACCCCAACAACTCTGAGACTTTGCTTTCTGATTCATCCACTATTGCTGCATCTGAGTCTGGTTATGATGCGGAAGAGTCTATGTCTATAACCATCCAGACAATAAGTGATTTATTAGACCATCATATTAATGATATTAACGATTCTACATCAAAGTCTTCCTCCCACACTGGCAGCTTTCAAGACTCTTTACTTCACGAGAGTTCTTTAACGAGCGCTCAAACTTCATATCGGGAATTGAAAGAGATTTTAGTACCATTGAGTATTTCTGAACAAAAAATTGAAATTTTTTCAGATAATGGCAACCTTGTCCAATTTCAAAGTCGGTTGATAAGGACAATAAACAAGTTACCCGAAGAGTTCCAGGTGGAGTTGAGAACTATCCTTGAGGAGCCTGATGAAAATTCTCACCAGTCTGTTGATGCGTTCAAGAGTTTCTTGTTGCAAGCTTTGAACAACAGTCAGAGTGTCCATAATGAACGAGCTACTTACACGGTAGACAATTCATCGAAATCTGCTAAAGCTTCAACCTCAACTGAATCTTCTCAGTCTTCCTTTCTTCATCCAGAGTCTTCAAAGTCAGCAGAGCTCAAAAGCAGTGATTTAAACGATTTGTCATTCAACACCATTGAGAAAATGTGTATGAAAGATGAATTACCTAGAACTCCAAAGCCAATGCCGGAGTTGACTGAAGAGCAGAAAAAAGCACTCGAACTCTGTCGAAAGCAGGAGCTTGAATTGTTGTCAGTGTCACCGTATTCATCGAGCTCCAAAAGCTCTGAAAGATCTGGAAGTAAGAGCTGTGTAGATAGTAGTCGTAAAGCTCGGTCATTGGTTTGTTCTGAAGATCCAAGGCCAGTTTCACGTTCCCGTGCGTCATCCTACAATTGGGGTATTAGGAGAGAAGTTCTGCGGGCGGATCTTCGTCATAGTTGGAGGGACTCCAGAAGCAAAAACGATGAAGAAAATAAAACGCTGAATAAGTCTTACGCTGATGAATTCATGGAAAAGGTTAATAATTACTATGAAAAGTCTGATTGGACGAAAAGACTCAGCGAGTTTGAAGAGTCCAGTGTTGAAGCAACACCAATTGACCGTACCAAAAGTTTTAAGGCTTCTAAATTATCGAGCAAAAGTGCGATGGGAATCAGGAAAAAAAATTGCCCCAAGAGAAAAATAACAACGGGTTTTATTAAAAAAAGATCCTTGATACCCATATACAAGCCGGATTTTTGTAAATCAGCTACTATGTCAACTGCAAAGGTCTCTTGTATGCTTGATATGATTTGCTCGAATTCTAAAGAAGAGTCAAAAATACCGGCTGAGGGAGAAATAGTTGCTGATGCTTCGCCGGGCTTGTTTGGTAAATCTCCTTCGAGTTCTTTAACTCCCAATGGGACTCCGAGATCTGAAAAATCTGAAAGTAAGTCAAGTGGAATTTCCAATTCTGAACAATTAATCCCACCGATTATTATTACTTGTTCCTCACCAATCATTGAGGCAAATAACTTGCCAAGCGTTGAGGTAATTAACTCGCCAAGCATTACGATAATTCACTCGCCAAGCATTAAGGTAATTCACTCGCCGTATAGCAGCCCTGAGCCTAAAAACTATGAAAAGCGTCAGAGGCGATACTTCTGTTCACCGGGAAAAATGCCTGCTCCAAAAAAAAAGAGAATTTTCTTTTCGACTCCGAAAAAAGAAAATACATGCTCAAAGACGTCCGAAAATAAAATTAAGAGTTCTGTTGATGTATACCGAAAAACGTCAGAAACTAAAATTAAGAGTCCCGTTGGGGCATATATCCGCGGGGACTTAAGCGCTAGTTTCATCTCGGACTCAAATCGTGTTCATGAGTTCTTAACTAAGAAGTCTTGACAAGTATTGTTCAGTAATTTTAAAATTTTTATTCTATTATAAAATTAATGAATTTATTCTATTTATTTTCTAGATCATGTTATTTTTTTTTATTATAAAATGATTTTATTGCCAAAAAGATAGTTATACGTAGTATTTATACGTCAATAATATTTAAATAAACTGTGATTCAATTTATTTAAACTTAAAATAATAACATTATTAAAAAGAAATATATATTGTAAGAATAACTACTGTATTAATTAAAGACTGATTTTGTAAAACTTAAATGAATAACAATTAAATATATATTTTTATCACTCTAAATTATTTATTTTATAATTGTGAATTACAATTAATTAATATATATATATATATATATATATTTATAATTACTTATTTTTAAATTATGAATTAATAACTTTTTGATTTATTTTTTTTAACAAGAAATTTTTTAATGCATTTATTAAATTAATAAGACAAATTTTAATGACGCAGAAATGTTTACTTTATTTTTTATACAGACAGCTCTAAATACAATGAATCAACATTTATAATAACAATACTAGCGAAATATCTTGACTGAGATCTGTAGTAAGTTTCTTAATAATTTAAAAATCACCCGATAAATAATTGACATTCAATAATAAAATATCAACTATTTAACAATAGAATAGTTATTAATATTAAAAACATAGTTAAAAAATAAAAATTCGGTATATAAAAAAACCCCTAAACAAAATGATCGATTTAAGTAAAACAAAATAAATATATCTTGTACATAAGAAATCTGTAAAAAAAAAAAAGTATTAGGCCCAGTGGCTGGAATGACAAAAAAACATAAGTATAAACTAAAAAAAAATTACAATTTAAAAAATGTACTGAGTAATTGATAATATGCAAGAGACTACCGATATTTCAATTACAACCAATCGATCAAGCCTCACAAGTACTTAAGCCTCACAATAATCCATTTGGATCATAAATTAATACATCAGTGAATCTTTAGTTTTGTCTTATCGAAGCCTGATAATTATTGCTTTATAAATTACATTATTTTGCTTTGTATTTTAAATTAAATTACAAATAATTTATATTAACAAGCGCAATAAAAAATATTTATCAATTTTATGAACAAATAGTTACTATTTATTTACTTATTTTTTGACCGGCAAAAAAGAATGTAATTTCCTGACACTGCTCTGATAAAACGGCAGTACAATTGTCATTTTCAATTAATTAAAAGACAATTAATGCAATTAAATCTATCTGGTTGAAACTATTGCACTTTTTTTAAAGTATATTTTAACTGAACTGTTTTTAATTTTATTGAAAAACAGTTAATAATTATTACAATAAATTCAACGTTTATCATTAACTTATTATCAATCAATATATGCGTGTATATATAGTATAATTAAATATATTTTTATTTATATATTTATTTTTGTTTAATTTCAAAGTGCATAAACTTGTTTAAATACTACTACCAGGTAAACGTCATCGATATATTGTAATAAAATAATTAGACACGTTTGTAATGTGTCTTGGAATGAATCCTAATTAATTTATTAGTGCATTTAAAAAGTCAGAAATGCGTTCAAGATACTAATATATTGATTTTATTTATTTATTCAGTCACGTGACTGACTATCCCACTTGAATTTTATTATTATTTATTTCTGTGTTTTAGTTAAATAAAACACAATCCTCCATTTAAATTATCACTTCAGTTGTGACCAGTCGACGCTTATCATATCAATACTCTGGTATTTAGACGCGAACCAGCGGTAACTGGTTTTTATATCCAATTGTGCTGAATTAAAAGATCTTAGTATATTAAATATTCTAAAAATTCAGCGAATTGACTATAGGATATTAGCTAAAATAGCTAAATAAATAATTATAATTACAATTAATTGTACAGGCTTATTTTCTGATATTTTACTCAAGACCACCTTCCTCTTCGAGTTTCGACAGGAATTTAGGTATTCGGTAGCTTGGTTCTACTTGTCGGGCCATGTCTATGAGTCCCAATAATTTTTTGATACCGATGAACACACTGTAATTCAATTTCATTCATTAATTAAAAATATTATAAAATCGACATGACAAGTTAATTAATTTTATTGATAAATATTTATAATATTACCGTTTTCCTTGAAGCTTAGCATGTAACATCGTAAGTTCTTGCTTAGTAAATACATCCTGGTCTTCTAATACTGCTAATAAATGATCGGGTGTTGATAAATTCGGCACATGAAGAACGGTATTAAATGCAGAAATCAATTTCATGTCATCTAGTACTTGTCTGAAAGCAAAAATAATAAGTCTAGAGAATCCAAAATTTAAGAAAAAAAAAAAAAAATTACTCAGAAAAAAAATAATTTTCATAAAAAATTTCTTAAACAAAATAAAATTTGTTTCATGAGTATACATCACTGAGTATAATATAATCTGGCACGATATCCAGTATCATCTTGTTCTTTTTGTGTAAGTGCAATATAAATAAAAAAAAAATCAATTTCAGTTTCGACAAAAACTGCTTTTTTTTTAAATATCGAGAGTAGCCTCGCTTATGTGGCGTGCAAAACAATTTACCAATGAAAAAATATGAACACATTTGATATAATAAATATAGTAGTTTAAATAAAATACCTGTCACTGGTAGTACAAAGTACAAGTAATTTTTTCCCACGAGGTGGTTGTTTTTTCAATAAAACCAACAACGCTTGAAGAGTCAGATTAGAGTACCTAGGTCCAATTGACCCGTAATCTAACAGACGTTCAATATTGTCGACCAATATGCAGCTGAGTTGGGAACGGTAAGCATCGTCAAAGAATTTACGTATCGCGAGACACTTGGCAGTCTCAGTGTGTCCAACCATGTCATCTGGGGTGCAAACTTTGACGAATGGAAAGTCGGAATTTTTGGCAATTTGAGCAGCCAATGCAGTCTTTCCGCTGTTGGGTGGTCCTTCCAGTAGAACAGAAACCAAACCAAACCCTTCAGCAGCCCGGGTCTTCTGAATATCCAAACTACCGTCAGCAATTATTTCAGCGACAGGACGACCCCAGTTAATGATTCCACGGGCTAGCAAGTGATCCAGTACTTCTGCGGCTGTACCGAATGCCGGCTTGACGTCGTTTTCGAGCGCATGTAGGAAGTCTGCTCTTGAAACCATCAGCTTCTCCATTGCTGAAGGGTCCAGCTCTACTTTACTAGAGACTTTTATTAATTTATTCATAGCTGTACTTTGTGCTGCTCTTACCAGACCCTCTAACTCAGCACCACTGAAGTTTTTAGTGCGCACCGCCAGCTCTTTCAGGTCAACATCCGGAGCAATTTTATTGTGCTCACGCATTCGTGATGTATGAATATTCAAAATCTGAAATCTCCCGGTTTCATCTGGTAAACTGATCTCCATTTGCAACTCAAGCCGACCTGGACGCAGCAAAGCTTCATCAATCATGTCTCTTCGGTTGGTCATACCAATTACGAGAATATTGTTGAGTTGTTCCACACCGTCAATCTTTGACAGCAGCTGATTTACAACAGTGTCATGAACCCCAGTGTTGCCCGCTACACTACCACGAGATTTACAGATTGCGTCAATTTCATCAAAAATAATAATATGAAGCCCACTGTTTGGCCCAAGCTTTTTCTCCTCTTCCTCTGCTTCAGCAAACAGCCTTCTGATGTTGGCTTCACTCTCTCCTACATATTTGTCAAGAACCTGTGGACCATTGACGATCTTGGGCTCTCTGGCGTTCAACATAGTACCGATCTGACGAGCCATGAGTGTTTTTCCCGTACCAGGTGGACCATAAAGCAGAATTCCCTTTACGTGTCTGCAACCCAGCTGGGTCATAATGTCAGTAGGGAACACTCTCGAGGCAAAAGCTCGTCGGAAAATAGCGCTGAACTCCTTATCAAGACCACCGATTCCCATTTTTGCAAAGTCCCAGTCTGGATTGATGATTGACTGTCGCACCACTTTGCCTTTAGCTTTTCCAATCAAATTTAGACACGAACTTTCTGCTTTCTCAAATTGAATTACCGTATCACCAAGACAGCGACCCATCCTAGTCTTTTTGGGCTTTGATTTTTGTCCTTGCTCAATAGCAGTCACGTCAAGTGCCTCAAGATCTCTAACCACCAGCCCAAGCATTTTTTTATCCCCAAACTGGAACGCCAATTGCTGTCCCACTGTGAATGCATGCCCGGAAAATTTGAAAAGAAAATCCTTGACCATTAAATCGGTGTCATACGGCTCTGTCGTTGTTCTAAAAATAAAATAAAAATCAATCATCCGTTTTTTTTTTTTTCATCCTTTTTTTTTATCCGATCTCAACCAATTCTTCGGAATTATTTATATAAAAAATATGATAAAAAATTACTTTGTCTTCTGCAGAAAATCAGCTTCCAATACAATAGTACCTAAGAAGTTAGAACTTGATGATGCGTCGAACTGATACGGACGTACGTCTATTTCCTGGTCTACAGAAAGTGCCGCCCACTTTCTTTGTGGTAAACTGAATCCCACACATCCACGAGGCACGTCGTTGTGTGTCTCGACGGTAAATACATAGTTTTGATTAGGTAATGTCGTTACCTCGATATATCTATCAACATAAAAATTATATATAATTAAAAATACTAATCATACTTAAGTAATTATCACTTGAATTAAAAAAAAAAAATAACATGACATTAAAGTTAGCAGTTACTTGATAATTTTTCAATTTTATTTAATAAATAAATTAGCTCCGAAAAATTATTTCTAAAAAATTGCATTTTTTATTTATTTAATTTTCTAAATGTCAATTTAATTGTTAAAAAAAAATTCTTAAAATTATAAAATATCTGCTAAATTAATTTTCATAAAAATAACAACACTTACTTGACATCTTTTGGAAAGTCAACAGGACTAATTGCAGCACAATTCCTTAAACTGAGCTCGTCCGTAGGACATCTTATCGCTCGCATCTTCTGTAATAAACGTCAACAATATGTAGATTGTTGATAACATAACGTACGTAAATTTAATTAAATATTTCCATTAAATAATCAATATCAAAATATATGTAATCTATTCTGTAACAATGATTTAAATAATAGCTTAATGGCGTCATAAATAACAAACATCTTTTGCAAGTCAGTAAAATAATTAGTTTCGTGTAACAATCTATGACAACGTCATTGTCAATTAAATGTTATCATATAAAAAAACTCGCGCTCTTATTAATAGATAATGAGTTTTTCTTCAAGCACTTACCATCATTTTTGCTATATTTATGTACTATCTATCCCTGACAATGATTTTTACGCGACTATTTAACACGTAGTATGGATCTCTGCAATGCAGAAACTTCCAACGTTAATGTACCAAAATCTCCTTGTCAATTACCAACGTTACCGCCCAATTATTATATCCTTGCCTCCGAAAAATTAACCAATCAAATTGTTTCTTCTTTAGACATTTCACTGAGCAGAGTTGGCGCCACTGATGAACTTATCGATTTTTGACAGCCAGCGCAGCCGCTGTTATTTTTAGAAACTAAATTATTAACAGCTGATGATAAATTGGGTGAATTCATTTATATTAAGATCCAGGTCCAGGTCATCTACACCCTGCACCGTCTATGATTGATTTGTGCTGAGTATTGACATAGCACGAGAGTTTACGTAAGGGGTAAGATTAATAATTTATATTTTACTTTTAATGAATAAATCAATTATTTAATTTATATTAATAAAGATTACTTGAAAATTCTTTTTCAGACTCCAAAATGGTTTTGCAAACGACACTTTACAACATCTTCTTCAAACGTACGTCAACATTCTTGGCCTCTATTATGGTCGGAACATTTTTCTTTGAACGATCGTTGACTGTTGCTTCTGATGCTATTTTTGAGAGAGCAAATAAAGGAGTAAGTTATATAGTTAATTAATTAACAGCTAGTTTAATTAAAATTTCAACCAAACCATCAATCATGTTTTTAATGTCTTAATTAAAAATCAGCTACTAACCAACAAACAACAAAGTTAAAAAAAAATTAATTGTCACCTTAATTGGATTTTTTAATTGAAATTTAAAAACATAACAGAAATTATTTTTGTTTAATATTTTTTAATTAAATTAAATACACTTAAAATGTCAAAGTGATTTTAAGAATTGCTTTATTAAACACTAAATTTAATAAAAATTATTCATCAGCTGAAGAGTTAATGAAAATTAATTTAGCAGATATTTCATCATTTTAAAAATTTTTTTAACAAATAAATTATGACAAAAAAAAAAAGCAGAAAAAAAAAATTAATATGTAGAAATTTTTTTGGAAAAAATCTATTTGTTAGAAAAAATTGAAAAATGGTTAAGTGACTGCTCACTTTAATATCATATTTTTTTACTCATTTTATCTAACACAATTTGTTTGTTAAAAAATTTCTTAAAATGATGAAATATTTCCCTAAATTAAATTTCATTAACTCTTCAGCTGATGAATAATTTTTATTAAAAATTGCATTTTTTTTTTTTTTTTTTAAATTTCTATAAGTTAATTTTTTTTTTCTATTTTTTTTTGTCATAATTTATTTGTTAAAAAAATTTTTTAAATTATCAAATATCTGCTAAATTAATTTTCATAAAAAATTAACATTTAGAAAATTGAATAAATAAAAAATGCAATTTTTTATAAATAATTATTCGAAGCAAATTTATTTATTAAAAAATTGTCAAGCGACTGCTAACTTTAATGTCATAAAGAGTTGATTGAATTTTTTTTTTTTAAGTGACTAATATTTAATTAATTTTAAATAATTATTTAAATATAAATCTAACAATAATTTTCTTTTTTTATTTCAGAAACTGTGGAAGGACATCAAACACAAGTACGAGAAATAAATAGAAAAATGTTTTCTCCAGCTCTTAGATAAATAAAAACTATTTAATTAAATCTAAATCTATTAATTTCATTAAATATGTCACGTTTAAGTAAAATGCATCAATGTAAATAAATAATCAATGTGCATATAAAATGCAATTATAATTATAATTATCCTCCAAGCAAAATGCTCCTTTAAAAATAATTTCTGAAATAAAAAATAGATTTCACGAAAAAGCGGGTTCTTAATTTTAATTAATAAAGTAAGTAAAATTAAAAGCAAATAATTTTTTGAACCCTTATAAATAATAACATACATTGTACAAAGTAGAGTATAGTAACGTTATTATTGTAGCAATTACCTGGGTCATGCGCAGTTGAATTCAGTGACGTTTTATAAAGCAATTGCACTGCACCTGGTATCATTTACAGCAATTTACAGTAATAACATATATCTAAAAAAAATACTGTCATTCTCATTAGCGTATGGACGTTAGTAAAAAATCACTAGGATGAGTAGTGTGTGAATTCATCAAGGACAAAAGTAATTACCAATTTATTTACCATTAACTAAACCAGCCATTGATAATCAGAGCTGTCAAAATAAACTCCAATATCTCTATTATATTACTCATTTAAAATTACTAATAAAAAAATAAAACAAAGAAAACAGATATACATTATAAATTAAGTATATATTATTTTTTTAAGTGAATAATAATCATTACGTCATCTAGTGGTGAAAACTTCCTGCTTTCCATAACCTATCGACTTCCTCAACTACTCGTTAATGTTTGTAAATAATCATTTTGATAATTTATTTTTTTATCTCCATATATTTATCAAGTGTCTTATTTTCGGATATTTGTCTGTTTAAATTGTTAAATATTTAACAATGATATCAACTTGTTGGAAAAGTAGTCAGCAGTATTGTATTGTTTGTCTGTCTGTTAAAAAAAAATCTGTGACTACCTATTTGTGCATTAGAAAGTTTAACAATGATGAATAATTGTAATTTATATATGTATATCAACAATCATAATTATTTATATTATTATTATTATTAGTGTTATATTTTAATCTAATAAATGTATGGTCTGTGATACGTTGTTTAAATGTCAAACAACAGAAGTATTGAAAGTGTGTCAATTATATACTATTTTTGCTTATAATTGTCATTCAAGACTCTTGAGTAATAAAAAATTTAAATACTTAACAAAACTTAAAATCATTTACTATTTTTTATTGAATTTAATTTAAATATAATTTTATAAATATTCAAGAGTCTTTAAATGGTATTTTTAATTTCACTTCACAAATTAAATTATAAAAATTAATTTAGCATATTAACAATTTTTAATATTTTATAGCAAATAAATTATGGCAAAAAAAAAAAAAAATTGACATGTAGAAATTTCAAACTTTAATGTCATTAAATTATGAAAATTAACTTGGCATATATTTAACAATTTTTTAAATTTTATGGCAAAAAAAAATGTAGAAATTTAAAAAAATAGAAAATCCAATTTAAACAAAAAAATTTTTTTTAACTAATTTTTTTGTTTAATAAAATTGAAAAATTCTCAAGTGACTGCTAACTTTAATATCATAATTAAATATTTCTATTTAATTATTTATGATAAGTAATAATTTTTATTGATAATAATAATTAATAATTTGTATTTTGTTTAATTTCAGCAGCTGTAGGAGGATAAAAATGTAAATATAATATTGTCATGAGTGGTCCAGACCTTCGAGAGCACTCATACGTGAAAGTGCTGTATGACTTTCAATATAAAACAACAGAAGGTCGAGAGATAGCCATAAAAAAGAATGAAAGATTGTATTTGTTACAAAAAACAAATGCTGATTGGTGGCAAGTCGTCAGGACCTGGGAGCAGACATCTTTTTACGTACCTGCTACGTACGTCAGAGAGATGTCAAAGAGTAGCGGTAACCAGAAAAAGACATCTGACGAGGATAAAGATGTAGCATTTGAGTCATTAGATGGCCCAAAGTACAAGAACATGCCCAAGGAGACATCCAGCGCGATGAAAAACGTCAAAAAGTGGCTGGCTGGAGCTATGGACAGCAAGCAGGAGTCTCCAGCTTCTTCAACTACCGCTTCCTCGTCATCTCTGTCCAAGTCTCTCTATATTACAGATGAATCTCACAAACACAATGCTATGGATTACCAGTCACGCGCGGAATTAAAAGTCGGCTTAGCCGCTATAAAAGCAAAATCTTTGGAGCGTGATCGCGAAAGAAGATCGATCATTTTTAATTTTTATTTATTGATAAACGATTCTCACGTCAATTCTCAACTAACGTGAGACGGAAATTGGTTTAGTAGTTTAATAAATTGGAAATCAATACTAGATAAACTACTTAAAAGTTTTATTTTTTCTAAGTACTTTATCGATATTTTATTATTGTTAGAATTTACTCTATTTTTTTTAGTTAGATTAAGTGATTTAATTTGATTGAAAATTCTATGGAAAATGATATACAATTTGTATTTTTTTTTTGAAGAAAAATTCGTTAAATAACCTATTTAGGTTTAAGAAATAAAAAATAATTATTTTTATTAAATAACTTAATATCAAAATCTGAACTCTCTTATAAGGAAATGATTTAGCGACCATGCGCCATCTGTTGGAAATTTTTAGTACTATCATTGATCAAAAAGTTATGTATGGTCAGTTTTCATATTAAGTTAAGTCAAAAATGATGTACTGAGACATTTGCTATTTAAAAATGTCAAAAAATTACCTCGTAAAAAATAATAAATCAGATAAATTGCTAATTACAGCGTTGACATAAAAATATCAGGCCAGAAATGGATGAATAATATCTTTTGATAGCCATATATGAATATGTCAGAAAATTTTATTTATTTATAGGACATGAAGACTATCTCGAACAATGAGTTGGCATGTCATGTGAGCGATCTGTATCAGAAGTAATAAATATATTGCGATTGCGAGTAAGAGCTGGTAAGCTTCTTACCTTCTTACCTGATGTAAGAAGCTTCTTCCTCATTGTATTCAGCATATTGTTGGACAAGACGGGATTGTATGCATGCACGAAGAAATGGGAGCGATAAAAGTTAAGAATATGCTTA